TGAGCCCTCAAGCCAAAGGCTGCGACTCCGCCCGCCGTCCTTCTTTGTTGCTCTTTGTTCTCTCTTCTGCACTTTCCAAGTGCCTCGCGCTTTGGCTTTCTCCTTCCCACTCAGACTCGCCAACGCGTGGCGCTGCAGAGAGGGGGTCCCCAGCAGCCCCACTTCCTGGGACCTGGTGCTGCGACCTGCAGGTCAGGGTCCTGCCTGAGGGCCGGCCACGGGATTTTCTATGCTGGTTCTCAAGAGTGCTGACCGGGCAGACTCGGGCCACGGCCGTGGGGTCGCAGCTTTACTTTCCATTGTGTGTTGTGACCTCAGCAGAGTCTGCGTCTTCCTCTTACTCCCTGACCTATATCTGAGTAAGGTACTCTGGCACGGCAGCAGGTGCGGTGAGGGGAGCGGACATCCTGGGCGCTCCAGCCTGTCCCCAGGCCTGGTCACTGGCTTGAGGCAGGACCCCTGCCCTCCGAGCAGAGCTGCGATCTCTAGAGAAGCAGCAATCAGCAGACTTCATGGGACAGAGTCTGCGCCGGGACCAACCAGGTTTCTCTCTCAGCCCCTTCCTAGTGTTCTTTCCTCTGGTCCTGTCCTCCCCGCAGAAGGGAGGAGGGCTGTGCGGTGCTCTGCTAGATGGGATATTTTCAGAGTCGCTGGAGATGTTCTCCGGGACTGTCTCCCACCCCAGAAAGGTGCTAGGCAGTGTGGGGTCTCCCCACCTCCTGCAGTGAGCAGATGTTTGCTCTTAAAAACCTCATGTAAGGAAGAGGCTTGAGTTTTCACTCTCAACCACTACCCCAGGGCTCCCTTATAGTTCTCTGCACGCAACAGGTGCTCAGTAGATGTTCTTGGGTTTGTAGACAAGTGAGAGGTTGAGGCTGTGCACTTGGGGACACACTTGGAGTAGATTTAGAAAGCGCTCAGGAAAATGAAGTTCTCTTCCCTCAGGTAGTCAGGCTGTTGTGGTATTAGTGATATTTGTGCCCCGGTCTTGCCGACAAGGGCCCTGGTTGCTCCCCAAAGCCAATGTCCACTGCCTCTGCTGCCTGATTAGGTCGGGGACGGCCTTCCACTTAAGCGTGCTCCTCTAAACACCCCAGGGCTCATAGCTGGGTCCCAGAAAATTAAAGGAG